ATATATATATATATATATATATATATATACGCGTGGACATTCACTTCTTTCACGACAGTACCTATTCCTGTGTTCTAATCTTAACCCTAGCTTTAAGCTCTGTCAAAACCATAGTCCCAAACCAAACTCAAAATGTTACTCAAGCCCTAACCTTAATCCTAACCCAACACTGTCTCAGTCTTAATTTTATCATTAACCATTTAAAACCATTACAATACTTTGGGTGGAATTTGCGAACAATCACTTGCCTTACAGAGAAGTCCATATTCCCTGCCCTAGCAAACGCGTTCCTGTGAATAAAAGGATCGGTAACCTTGCAGACTTTAACTATAAAGAGGAGGTTGCCAAACATCAGTTAACTGTTGAATAATTTCTAATTAGGAAGATGTAAAGGCTTTTCTGTTTGCGATAAGTGCTTGGGCATTTTTAACGTTTTCTGCAGCTACCGCACGATCGTACTACTACTGAAAACTGTATTGTGTGGAGCAAGCATTCACTTAACCGGCACTCAGGTGGGGTGCGCACCAATGAAAAGCTCACGAAAAAAGTAAACGTTAAACGATTTATAGATGGTAAGAGAAGCTCTACATAAAAACACGGGAAAGCCGTCAAAGAATCGCAAATGCGTTTTCCGGATCGTGAAAACGTGGTGCTGCCAAATGCCATATTGACACTAACTAGAGAGAACAAAAGATGAGATTTCAATTTTAATCAGGACAATGAAAAGGGATCGGAAACCTAGTTTATTCTATAAAGATCTTTTAAACCACGTGTTCAGGTAGGATGGACAATGGAAACACCACACCTCTGAAGCCGCGAGTTTTTGTAAACATCTTTTATACAGAGTATGATTAAGTCTTCCAAGTTATTAAACGGGAGACATTGTGAAGACACGTCCTAGCGACAGCTGAATCGACGGCTACCCAATGCCTTCTGCATGTAGGCTAGAAAAATGTTGAACTTCGACAGCGAGGATACGTCTGCGATGGTATAGACCTTTCTACCTCCCGGCGCTAATAAAGCGGTGTGCGTTTTATAGAAACAAGCTTTAAACCGATAGAATTTAAAGGATGACAGACTCTCTTTTTCAATTTTTGGGTCCTGAAAATATTGACCATCCGATCCCTTCTAATTACCGCCCATAACAAAAGATCGTGGGAGGTGCAAAGAATAACTCCCTTGCCGTGATAGAGGTGGGTTGTACTAGATTTTCGGAAGAAAACGAAGTCATGTGTCGGAAACTTTATACTAACCCTCCCTATCCAAACTCCAAATTAACTTTGGCTAAAAGCAACACTAACCCCAATCGCCTTAGATTTTAGTGTCAGGCCCTCAAAGTAAGCAGGTTCCGATTGCCGC